CAATGGCGATGACACTTATGAACAGAGCGATCTCTAAACCCGAAACCCTAGGTGCTTTCAGACTCTCGCTCAATCTCTTAAGAAATTTCTCTGCGGCGGCTTCTCCGTCGGCTGCAAACCCTAGCTCCGATTCGATTAAATCTACACGAAGGAGGAAGAAGAAGAACCTAATCGAGGTCGCTCAGTTCTTACCAAACTGGGGAATCGGTTACCATATGGCTAAAGCTCACTGGAATGGAATCTCTTATGAAATCACTAAGATCAATCTCTATAAGGTTTTGTGCTTTTTCTTTCTCTTTTTGGCCTCCTCGTGAATGAAAAATTGTTTGTAATCTGCGTTCAATGAGTTCTCTTGTATCTGCCATAGAAATGGTTCGATTGTTGGCTGAATCATTGTTTCGTAGTTCATGATTGATAGAAAAAATGTTTATGTTACCAATCATTTGGGGGGTTTCTTTAGCTGATATGGGTGTTTTTGTTTGATTCTGGATTCCAATGCAGGATGGTAGACATGGAAAAGCATGGGGAGTTGTTCACAAAGATGGTGAGTTTTTTGTTCATCATCTGTTTTTCTTATTCAAATGTTACCAGCTTCGATCTCCCCTCGTTTGCTTCGCCTTTTCCACTTGACAGTCTTTGGGTTTTTAGTAATGTTCTGCTCCATTGATCTCGGAGTTGAAGATGATTCCAAGAAAGAAGACTTATTATTGCATAACCTTTGAATCATGTATTAGGAGTATCCATATCTGAAGCTCGATAATCACAGTTGCATTGATGTTAAGACTTTCTGAATTATGAGAAGTTTTGAAATACATACGTATCCTCAAATGCAGGCTTGCGAGCTGCGGAAGCTCCAAAGAAGATAAGCGGAGTTCACAAACGTTGTTGGAAGTATATCCCAAACCTGTCAAAGACCGTCACACCTGCAACAAACTCTGCAACAGCTGATGTTCAAGCTGCCTGATCTGTTTACTTCCATTGTGATGGGTACTTTCTTCGTACAACTGTTTGTGGTTTCTTTTTGAGTATTTTCTTTGGAAGATACAGTTATTGTTACTTGGTAGTTTCTTTGAATTCGTCGATAGCTTTGTAGGAAATGATCCGTAATCTTTTGATGACAATCGGGTTATCGTTCATCTTATTAAGACTTTTACGCTTCTTGAGTTAAGGTTTTGATGTGGATGCATCACTGAGCCTAGGGTTCTGCTACTAGTAATTATTTAAAAATAAAGTTCCTTTGGCAAGTGTAATAGCTAAGCTTCTTAGAAGTTTAAACAAATAGCAGCTGTATTGTGTATCATCAAAACTATATATTTTGAAATGTTGAGGGCATTCAGTATCATAATAAAATCTGGATATAGCAAGAATGGATTTTTTCCGTCATTAAGAGTTATTCGAAATAACTCAGAAATTTGCGACAAGCCTTGTTGATTGCCATAGTGAGCTTCTTGCAACCATCATCTATATGAATCCGATGGTACTCTTGTACCCACGTCATTTGAATAGCAACCAAGGGTACCAAAGCTTCGGTTTCAAGCGCATTTAGTCTTTGGGATAGCTACGCCGAACTTCACGAAAGCATAAAACCAGTAGAATCATGTATGGTCCAGCAAACTCCGATCTCTTCTGCATTCCTTCTATGACACTTCATTTGTATTGATATGACCCAATCCTTCTCTGGCGGACTCTGATACTTGCTCTCACTACTAGCTTCAAATTATGTTTCCTTTCCTGCGGTTTCTTCTTCGTGTTCTTGCGCTTGATTTGTATCTGTCAAATGCTTTCACTACATCTTCTGTTACGCTTGACAACTTTTGTTGGAATAATAGCTCGTTTCGTGGTTTAGAGGGTGTTGTTGTAACATTTTATATTTCTCCACCGTATATTATACATGAATTAGAATCTTCCAGGATTTGTGAAGCTTGAAGCAATCCTAAATTTCCAAATATTTGAAAGCCTTAATGTCGCTTAAGCATGAGGACATGTGAAAGAGATTATGATTTATAGTCTCATACCGCTTATGCCATTAATGAGAACTAGAAACTTCCAAAATCTTATGCCATTAATGAGAACTAGCAAAAAGCATGAGATGAGGCTTCTAACAAACCCCCTCAGAGGAATGGTTTATCTATTGATCATAGATGAATGTAATTGACATATTAGATTATTTGCAAACATTTATGTTCAAACCCACAATTTGGATGATGTCTTAGAAACTGAAGGCAGAGACTGTTTTGGATGGGAATTTTTTGTTTCTGACTTAGATAGTCCATAAGAGCAAATATGAATAGGTAAGAGAACTAAAATGTATAAAGTATTATATGGACAGAGACTAACCATCCAGAACTGTGTAGGTGAAACAGCATTGACACTACTATCAAGCTCACCAAATAACTCACGTGTGGCAACTGTGAGCATGTGAGAAGTCTGGTCAACATTGTTGCTTCGTGCAGAAAGTGAGTAACTATTAAGAGGAAATTGTTTGTATGAGATAACGATATTGACTTTAAAACAGTGAAAAACAATAAAGGATAAGATCTGAACTGACTTGGATAATGCAGATTTCAACTCTGGGACAGATTTTAAGCACTGCACCGTGGAGTTCATGTAACATGTGTTGCCAAGATTGACGAGGCCAGCACTGTAACCCTGAAATCAATTGTAATGTTTGTTAGTTGATAGTTAAAGGGCAGCTATGAGAATGTGTGTGTGTGGTCTAGGGGATTCTCGAATAATCTGTAGAGAGGTTTTATCATTTGACTCCACAAATATCACACTCCTGCACACTTATAAATTATAATCAACAGTAAAAAGGACTTGCCAAATGAGTTGCTTGCTCTTCTTCAGGTAAATCCTCAGCAAATACAATGGGACATGTGAAAGAGATTATGATTTATAGTCTCCGGGAAAGGCTCTCCCGAATAGGTTATATGTGTTGTATCTAAAGCTCCTGAAATTGATCTCCACATATAATGTTTATATTTTTTTCTCTTACAACCAGTAATCATGTTTATTTACTTATTTAGTGAAGAAATTAAATAATCATCTAGCTGTAAAACCAAACATGATTATTGGTTGAAAAATAAGGCTATAAAATTGATTTAGAAAAACACATAGGACGAATTTGCTCAATAACCAAAAAAAAATTACAATTAAGCAACTAACAAAAAAATCTTAAATTGGTTAGTTGCTTGATTATTAATTTTTTTGGGGTTATTGAACAAATTATGTAATAGTTACAAAAGAAAAAGGGACATGTGATTTCTTTTTCTTCTCTGGTCAAAGTGGCACATGTAATCTCAAATCTAACAGAATACAATT